AAGAACTGGACAGCTCCCGATGTACTTTTGCGGTCCATCCGGCAACCGGCAAAGTCAGCATCCGAGTATCCGACTAGGTCAAAACCTGAGTGCTTGGGATACCAAAGGCCTAGATTCACAGTGCCTTTGAGGTATCTCAGAATTCTTCGAACAACGGTCAGATGGGATTCCTTCGGATTTGCCTGAAAGCGTGCGCATAAGCATGTAGAGAAGACAATGTCAGGCCTGCTTGACGTGAGATATAGCAAAGATCCAATGATGGCCCTGTAGTTTGTAGCATCAACTGGCTTCCCGGAGGGGTCTGAGTCCAGTTTGTTGTTTGGGGACATGGGGGTCGTCATGGAAGATTTGCCATCAATGTTGAATCTCTTAAGCATTTCCAGAATATACTTTGACTGATTGATGAAAATGTCGTCAGAGAGTTGTCTTACTTGCAGGCCTAGGAAGAAATTCAGTTCTCCCATCATGCTCATCTCGAACTTGGTTTTCATCAGTTTCTCAAAGTGTTTGCACAGACGTGGATTAGAGGAGGTGAAGATAATGTCATCAACATAGATCTGAATCAGGATAATGTCAGACTTCTGTCGCTTGATGAAAAGTGTGGTATCAATCTTCCCTTTTGAGAAACCTGAGTCAACCAGAAATTCGGTTAATGCATCATACCAAGCTCTTGGTGCCTGTTTCAACCCATACAGAGCTTTCTTTAGTTTGTACACATGGTCGGGATATCTGGGATCTACAACTCCTTCGGGCTGAGCGACATAGACTTCTTCTTCCAAGACTCCATTCAGAAAGGCAGTCTTGACGTCCATTTGAAAGACGGTAAAGTTCTTGTGGGCCGCGTACGCAAGAAAAAGGCGGATTGCTTCAATTCTTGCTACGGGTGAAAATGTTTCATCATAGTCTATGCCCTCTTGCTGATTATATCCTTTAGCGACCAGTCGTGCCTTGTTGCGTATCACTATGCCTTCTTCGTCCTTCTTGTTCTTGAACACCCATTTAGTGCCAATGATGGTTTTCTGAGGGGGTTTAGGCACGAGTGTCCACACATCTAGTCTGTCAAACTGATTGAGCTCATCTTGCATGGCAATCACCCAATCTGGATCAGCGAGTGCCTCTGAGACTTTGGACGGTTCATTCTTGCTTAGAAAGCATGCATAGTGACATTCATTTGTTGTTGCTGATCTTGTTCGCACACCTTGACTTGGATCACCTATTATCTGTTCAACAGGATGTGCTCTCGTCCATTTCCTCTCATGAGCTAGGTATGATGCATACAGAGCTGTGGTGTTGGTTGATCTGAGTCCTGATATGAGTTTGAAGGCTCTGGGGCAGCTGTGGTGTGTAGCGGAGATGATTCCGGACTTATGGCAAAGCCGTGATCATCCACACCTCTGGGATTGGTTTGAGGGGTTGAGGGTGTGGATGGTACATTGTCTGGTTCTGTGAGGAGTGGAATCTCTGTTGTTGGAGTTGATGTTGACTCTGGAGTGTATGCAGGAGCTGGAGGTTGTGAGTTCTCGTAGAAGTTTCTGAAGAGAGAGTCGAGAATCACATCGTCGTGTTCGGTGTTTGGTTCAGCTTTATCAGAAGCTACTGGTACAGCAGTGAATGGATCGGTCTGGAGATGTTCAATTGCAAAGTCTGCCATTTCATAGAATGTAATATTTACACTCTCGATGACAGTCCGCTTGTCTCTGAGATAGACTCTGTAAGCTTTGGATTGCAGTGAGTAGCCAATGAACACGCCTTCTCTGGCTTTGGGATCCAGCTTACTTCTCTCTGTCCGATCATTGAGTATGAAGCACTTGCAGCCAAAAACCTTGAGGAAAGAAATATCAGGAGTTTGGTTGAATAGGATCTCATATGGAGTCTTGTCGAAGCGCTTGTGGATGAAAGTTCTGTTCTGAGTGAAGCACGCAGTAGTGATTGCCTCTGCCCACATGAAGTGAGGCAGTCTTGATTGAATTAACATGGTGCGTGCTGCTTCAACAAGGGTTCTGTTCTTTCTCTCAACAACTCCGTTCTGCTGAGGAGTTTTAGCTGCTGCAAATTGCTGAGTGATACCGAGTGATTCATAGAACTCAGTGAGAGTCTGATTTTTGAACTCGGTACCATTGTCAGTTCTGACTATTCAAACATTGTGCTGTAGCAGTTTCTGGATCGTTCTGATAAAGGTCATAATGTTTTCCGCAACTTCGTCTTTTGAACGGAGAAATTTTGTCCATGTATACCTAGAGAAGTCATCAACGATCACCAGAGTGTATTTGCGACCGTTGATGCTTTGTACTCTCATAGGTCCACACAAATCCATGTGTATTAGCTGCAACTGATGAGTAGATGAAGGTTCGGTTTTTGACTTGTGGGAGCTTCGCGTCATTTTGCCCATTTTTCAGGCACTACAATGATTTTCAGCGGAAGACTTTAGCAGAGGAAGCCCCTTGACAAGTTTCTTGGAGGATAAGGTTGATAGATGTTTGAAGTTCAGATGGGAGAGACGTCTGTGCCATAGGTTGTTCTGTTCAGTTGAAGCTTTGGACAGCAGACAGATGGAAGTGGTGGATTGGACGCTTTTCAGATCAATAGTGTACAGATTTGATGTTCTGTAACACGTTAATAATGTATTCCCTGTGCTGTCAAGAACACAGCATTGTTTTGCAAAGAACCTCACTTCCATCCCGCTGTCACAGAATTGTCCAATGCTCAGTAAGTTGTGTTTGAGCCCTTTGACGAATGAATCATCTTTTATTGTGACACTGGCACAGACGACGTCCCCATACCCAAGGATAGGAGATGAGGCGTCATTCCCGAATCTGACATTTCCTCCGTAGCAGTTGGTGTAGTTGCTCAAAAGGTGCTTTATTCCGGTCATGTGGGTTGAGCATCCTGAGTCTAAGTGCCACACATGACCGTCCTGCAAAACAATCAAATAGGTTTAGGTACCCAACTTGGAGTGGGTCCTTCCTTATTATCAAGAAACACCTTTTTAAATCTTGCTTTGAGCAGTGATCCAAGGTCATCTGCTCTTTCAACAAAAGATCTATCTTTGGTGGGCTTTCCAATAGCCAGATCTGCTTTTGCAGTGTGTCTGGTTTTTGGAGTCCACCTAGCAGTTTCCATTTTGGTGGGTCTGGTGTTGTGAACCCACTTTTCTATTTTAGGTTCAGGAGGAGAGTAGACAGGTGCTTTGTGATTGAATGGTTGTTTCTTAAGTTTGGTTTTGAAAATCTCCTCCTTAGAAAGCCGATTAAGATGTTTTCTAGAATGAACTCTAAGGGCATATTTCATATCAGGAATACAAAACGTTCCCTTAGAAGTTCCTTTCTTGGTTTCTTTTTCAGGTTTAAGCTTTCTGGAAGGCTTGGATTTAACAACATTCATATCACATTCATAATTATGGGGATCTGGAACAGAATAACCATAAGCAACACTTGTATTATAAATAGAACTTTGTCTAGAAGATGTCTCAGAAATATTCAGCTTGGGACTCAAGACTGAACTACTAGAAGTTTGCTTTGTAGAGACAGAATTACAATTAACTTTTGAGTAAAAAATTGAACTAGATCTAGGGCTGGCATTGTTCTCGAAAACTTTCTTTTTGCCATCTGCGATTTCCTTCCTCTTTTTCCTCCACTCATTCTTCTCTTCTCCTTCCTTATTCACTTCCTTCCCTGTAAACAAAGGAGAAGAGAGATGAGTGGACGAACCTTTAAAAGCATTGTTTTTCTCATGTGAGGTGTGTGAGCTGTCAGGCTTGGTCGTTGAAGGGTCTGTTTTAGCATGAAACTGCTCACTCAAATCATTAAATTTTTGAAGAAGTTCCTGCCAGTTGCGCTCAAAACCTTTCTTTTCAGTTTCAAATCTCTCTCTCTCGTCATCAAGAGTTTTCTGTAGGTTTTTGAGCTTTTGAGCCATGGGAAAAATACATGGTTCCTCACCAGTTTTAGCAATACCAACTCTTGGGGGAGGGTCTAGAGGGTGTCCTATGTGAGGAATATCTTTAGCATAAGGGTCAAGGCATTCACTAAAGCAGGAAGTAGGTTTTTCTTCTGAAAGTTGTTTTTCATTTACAGAGGGATAATCACAAGAAATCGCAGGTTTTGGTTTCTTTCTTTTTTCTTCTTCTGCTTCAGCATAGTCTTCATCACTTCGAAAATACATTTTCTCGCCAAACCCTAGTCCCATGTAATCTTTGTTATAGAATTGAAGGCAATTAACTTTCTTAAGATTACGTGGGTTGGTTATGCCCAGTCCTGTTTTAGCATTGTAGAATCGGTCATCCTTTTGTTTGCTATTAAGCAGAAAAACAGTTTGTTCAGATTGACCTCTTCTAGCAGCTAGATCTTCTAGTTCTATTACTTTATTTAAAAGCGTTCTTCTTTTGTTATGCAAAAAATCGCATTCAGCCTTTGCTGTGCTTTTTTCCCGTTCACTGTCCTCAAATTTCCTAGTTAATTCAGCTATCTTTAGTTCAAAGCTTTCAAAATCTGAGGACACCTTTTTGACTTGATCTTTTGCAATTTCAAGTTGAATACTTAAGGAAGACTTTTGGTCTAGATTCTGTTTCAGAACTCTATGATTATTGTCTAGTCTCTCCTTTAGTTCTTTAATTAGATTGTCCTTTTCAAGTAAGGACTGCATTTGATTATTTAGAGAAGTATGTGAGGTACTTACAGAGCTAGTTGAGCACTCGTTTTCGGGGATCGCAGCATCACCCTTTCTTTCATTTCCCTCCACACTTGCCATAAGGGCATAGTTGTCTTCCTCTTCCTCCTCCTCAGAAGAATCTTCTGCCCAGTTCTCATTCTCAGCAATCATGGCAGAGGTTTCTTCTTCTTTCTGCACCATCAGCATTTTCTGCTTATTCCACAGCATTTTCTGCTTGTAGAAGTTAGCATCTTTCTTCTTTGGTAGGTGGCAGTCTTTGATCACATGTCCTGGTTTGCCGCAATTATAGCATTTAGGAGCTTCTTCTGCTGATGATGCCTTCCTAGAAGATCCTTGATCATGGTTCTTCTGCTTGTAGTTTGAGGAGGAAGTTCTCAGCCTGTTGGAGGAGCTGTTTTTCTTAGCAAATCTTTTGGCAAGCAGTGTCATCTTTTTATGTAAGTCTGCTAGCTCAGCCTCTAGATCAGATTTGTCCTCGTCACTCTCATCATCATCTGATTCAACCACCACCTTCTTCTTTTTCTTCTTTAGTGAAGTGGTTGTTCTTCTCGGCTGAGCCTCCATTACAAGAGCTAAGGGGTTTGTGGTGTGATGATCCTCAGCACAGGCAACCTCATTGACGAATTGCTTCAGATGTTCATAGAGTGTGCAGAGGTCAATTTCGTCCAAATCTATCCGAGATCTGACATCCTTCACTGTCTTTTCCCATGCAGGATGCAGGCTGGATAAAAATCTAATGTTCAGTTCCAGATTGGACCTGAATACTTTGATCTTTCTGAGTTCATTAACCAGTTGAACAAGTCTGTTGTAAGTCTCATTCAATGGTTCTCCTGGACCTGCTTTGAAGGAGTCATAAGCGATGAGGATTGTAGTCTTCTTTGTTTTGAGGCTGATGCTTGTGTCTTGTAGCAGCTTCTCTATTTCATCCCACATTTCCTTAGCTGTCTGCATGCTATCAATGAGAACATAAACTTCATTTGGTATTGCTTGAAGGAGGTACGTTTTGGCCATAAGGTCACCACGAAGTCTGAGCTTGTCAGCTTCTGTGTATTCAGACGACACTTTTCTCCTTATTTCTGGAAAAATAGGAGGATTATTTTCTGGATCTCCACCAACTGAAATCAAGAGTTCAGCTGGTCCTTCAAGCAAAGATTCGAGCATCGCAGAAGAGTTCTCTTTATGCTCGAGGAAATTTAGAAATCTGTTCCTCCACATTTGATATTCTCCCTTCCTGAGACTAGGAGGGGTACTGCTGTTTCCTTGTGCATTGTATTCTGAACCCATTGCTGTACTAAACTGACCGTTCGAGAAAATTGATCAAAAGATTTTCAGAGGCAGAAAGTCGAAAAATCAGATGTCGAGATCTGAATATCGAAATCTCAGATTTCGATAAAGGAGGCCCGGTATCGAGATTTGGCCTCGAGATTAAGGATCTCGAGATTAGGGATCTCGAGATTTCAAATTTCGAGATGCTGATCTCGAGATTTGAAATGTCGAGAAGTTAATCACTCGAAATCTTAATCTGATAAGTCAAATGTCGAGACCAGATGTCGAATCCTTTTCTCGAAATCAAGATCTCGAAATCCTAGATGTCGAAATCTTCAATGTCGAAATCCTGCAACCTGTAAAAATTAGATAAACAAAATCTGAAGGTAGTTTCCTGTAGAGTTGAATGTCGAGATCTTCGTGTAAAGTTTTCAGCTCGAAAAACGTAGCAGAACCTGTGAAAAAGCAGGATGTCGACAACCCCTGCTCGAGATATCTCGAAATCTAAATTTGCGTAAAACACAATCTGAAGTATACTCTTTGATCGCTTTGAAAAGGCGATTCCAAAGGTGTAACTTTTACAATTTTTGAACAAGAAACAAAATTACAGAGCAAAAAATCGACAGAATGAACTACGTTAACAAAAACAGAGTATTCTGCAGGAGTTCTTCTGATCGTTCTCGATCGGCTCTGATACCAATTGTTAGTCCCTGTTTCTGTAACAGCAGTGAATAATCGATCTAACAAGGAAGATTAAACGTAAAGATGAACACAGAATGAATCACCGTAAAACCTTCTTTGATAAACCGTGGAACGTACAGCAGAATGATATGCGTAAGGCTATGAATAATAAGTACGACGTTCAACCTTTTCCTAAACCTCGGCTCCCTTTTTATAGGCGAGTTTTAGGTTAGGCGTGCCAGGCTTTTGGCCTGTTTAAATGGGCCTAACACTTGGCCTGATTTCTATCTAATTTATGCACTAATTAAATACAAGGATTAAATATAAAGCTAATCTATGACCAACTTGATTCACAATTAAATATCTCCAACACCTAGAAATAGGAAATTTTAATGAAATGGATTTACATCTTGTCTATGAGAATTAAATTCAAATTGCTTAATTAATGAGTTTTAATTAGTTAATGAATTTGGCTATTTTTATTGAACAAAATATTGGAGAATTATTTCTGTCTTGTCTATGAGATTAGAATTTAATTCAAGCCAACCATTTTTGAATACATTGATGAACCCTAGAAATAGGATAAATTAATGAAAGTGATTTTTAATCTTGTCTATGAGAAAAGAAATTATTAGTCTAATTTGTGTTCTAATTCCCCTAATTACTAGGTCCAAGAATATATCCATTTCTAATTATTCAATTCATTGCCCTTCTTTGATCAATCCATTTAGAGTTTAATATTATATTTTTCATTTAGTTTATTTTGAGCCATTATTAATATTTTGCATAATTTAATTTACTTTCTTTTTCAAAAGTTAGTTTAGAAAATCAATCAAAAGTTTTAATTTGCAAAGCTTCCAATAATTTGCGATAACTTGTGACTGGATTTAAAATTAAGAAACTCCTTCGTCATTCCTCAAGAGACACGATACTCGGGGAAAAACCAAAAGGTTAGACTCCGTTTTACTACAACGCCGCGTATGCGGTTATCAAATGGCGCCGTTGCCGGGGAATGGCACGGTGAATTCTTGATTTTAATTTTAGCATGGGCGAATTCAAGTTAGGGAGACTTTCTTTTGAGCCTCTCATTGCTACTGAGCTAGAACTTGTCCTTGTAGAAATTAGTCCTGAAGAGCCCAATTTGAAAGTGCCCACTGAAGTTGATGAAGAGACCATAGACGAGGAAATACTTTGTGACACCGACCCTACCCTACCATCTATGGATGACCTCTCACTTAAAGAGTCCTTGAAAGATAGCCTTGATGAAGATGTTGATCCTACACGAGCCCAAGTGCCTGATCAAGTAGTTGATGAAACATGTGATGTTGAGAAAACATTGTCCGATAACGCCTTCTTTGACTCTCTACTCAATGATGACAAACATAGTTGTGCTAGTCAAGGATCTGTTTGCCTAGATGATATTTGTGGGGTTAGTGAGTTAGGAAGTTGGGATGCATTCTTAGAGAGTGACACAGAGTCTATACTTTGTGATTTCCATGTTGAGGGCATAGATGAAGAAGAGAAACCCCATCAAGAGGAGTATGAAATCTCTAGTCAGGCTACTTTTACCTTGATGGCTCCATTTGAGCGGTTGGAGAAACCAGAGGCACCTGATCCTGAAATACTTGTTGATTCTACTAATGAGAGTGATGCAGGATATGTGCTAATTCCTTGTTCGAACGACGTGTTCTTTGAAGATTATGTCACATTTTGGTGGTCACGAGAGTTTGAAGGTCTACGTCATCTGACTGCATACCTAGAGGATAAGGTGGATGCACTAGTGATGAGTGCTCCACAACTGATTTGCATTACAGAGAGTTCTCTCAAACGTCAAGCTAGTGACGTTAAAGAAGCGCTTCTTGAGAGGCAACCCATGTTTTTCATAACTTTGTTTGTTTGTTTTGTGTGATTGCAGGTTGTGTTTCATTAAATAAATTGTGAGTTGAACGCTTTGACCCGATTTCAAAAAAAAAAACTGACTATGGATGATATAAGGATATTTTTAAAAACAATTTTATTCCTCTTTTCATCATTCCTCTTCACAAAATCTTTTCAAAACTAAAGTGTGAGGAAAGAACCAAAAAAATGTGCCTTTATTTCAAAACTTTGTGCATTAAAAAGAGACCTCGAGGGCGAGGTCCAACTCAAGTGTGAGGAGGTTGCGTTTTACACTCAAAAAGTTAAAACCTTGTTTTAGATCAATCTTTTTACTACTTTTGATATGAAACATTCACTTCTCAATTGTTATCAATCACATAATAGCTTAGAGGATCACCCTTATTATAAGAATTTACTTTTATTATTATTTTTAGAAAACTTGAAATTGTTATGGGTTTTTGGTTGCGAATGTAAAGGGCTAATTTTATTTTATTGGACATTCATTTTATTCACAAAACAAATACTATTATTAATAAATCTCTTCAAAACTCATTGTTATAGGACAATTCCATCTCCGAAAAGGGGCTCGGTTTCATTCGTTAATTATAGTCTGTGAGAATGAAATATGCATCTACCATGGGATAACACCGCCAACAAGAGTGGAAAAGAAAAAAAAACATAATTTGTGAATAAGATAAATGTCCTAATTAGAATAATGAAAACCTTGGGATAAGGAATTGATTGGTGGTTTAACATAATCAATAGTTTTTATAAAGTAATAACAATTTTAAATTCTTGTATTTTGGGTGATTTTTCTAAAATGTTTAAAAATTGAGAATAAAAAAGGGAGATTTTTGTTTCTATTTTTTTAATAGCAATTCGATTGTGATTCAGTCATGTTTTACCTTTTTTAGTGTGTTTGAACCTAATTTGTCGCTTGAGGACAAGCAACGCTTAAGTGTGAGGAGATTGATAAGTCCATTTTGTACTTATTTTTCTTATCAAATTTAAGTGATTTTGGATTGAAAAATAGAAAAACAAGGCATGTTTTATATATTTTGGTTCAAGTTTCGTGAAATCATGTAAAAATCACGTCCATGATATGTTTGACAAAATTTCGGGTCAATTAAGCACACAATGAGTCAATTTGAGTAACAAATAATATCATACCAGAAGAAGCAAGGATTATATCAAAGTGGTCCAGAAGACAAAATTGAAGAGCACAAAACAGGGAAAAAGTCAGACAAAGAAGCTCACAGGCGGCCAGATAGGCGGCCAAAATGGAGGCCTTCGCGGCCGCCTACGGAAAAAATCAAAAGTCTACATTGGCTTTGACTCAAAACGGGAAGAAGACCGAAGGCTGCCGACACTGGACGGAAGGCGGCCGCCTTCGGTGGCCACCTGCGGTACAAGGCAACAAACCAACCACCGGCCGGTGGGATTTGACGGCAGGCGGCCAGACAGGAACGGCAGGCGGCCGCCTGCTGGACCTCTTGCGGCGGATGAATTGACTGGCGCACGTTCGACTGCCGGTGATGGGACGGAAGGTGGCCGGGACAAGGCCAGAGGCGGCCGCCTGGTTGGGCGCCTACGGGATTTTTTGTCCTATAAATAGCCCGATTTTTGCTGAACTCAAACACACCATTCATAGCCCGAAACTAGTTCAAAAAGATCTTCTTCTTCCTCTTCAAAGCTCGGATTTCCACCATTGTTGCACCTTCAACTTCAATCTTTCATATCTTTTTCATTTTAGCTCCAATTTGTAAGTTCTTTATATGAAAATTCATCCTCTCGTCGTGTAGATTCTGAATATATTGTTTTTATTTCCCAAATATTTGTGAAAAATTTTCTGATTTAATTTTAATAGTTTCGTATTTTCCATTTTAATTCAAGAAAATTAGATATTGTTGTTATATTAATCTCCTACTTAGACAACCTCAATACCTAGTATAAATAATGTTTATTTGTGAAAGAAACGAATGCTTAGATGTTGGGAGTGTTCACTCTAATATTTTCTTGTGTTGCTATTATTTATGATCATTTCTTATTTTATATGTAAAATGTTAAAATTAGTAATGAGTTGTTGTAGTTAATTTACTCTTGGGCATGAATTGAATTAAAGGAATATGGATTGACTTGTGAGCCGAAAATTAGGGGTTCAAATTAATTAATTGGACTAGTTTTTCAACATTGATGAAATAGTAATTGTTAGTCATTCTCATTAATTAAATTTTGGAAAATTATTTCTAACTTGTCTATGGGATTAGAAAATAATTTGAGCCAACCATATTTAAGCACGTTAATAAGGCCTAGAAATAGGAAATTTTAATGAAATGGATTTACATCTTGTCTATTAGAATTATATTCAAATTGCTTAATTAATGAGTTTTAATTAGTTAATGAATTTGGCTATTTTTATTGAACAAAATATTGGAGAATTATTTCTGTCTTGTCTATGAGATTAGAATTTAATTCAAGCCAATCATTTTTGAATACATTGATGAACCCTAGAAATAGGATAAATTAATGAAAGTGATTTCTATTCTTGTCTATGAGAAAAGAAATTATTAGTCCAATTTTTGTTCTAATTCCCCTAATTACTAGGTCCAAGAATATATCCATTTCTAATTATTCAATTCATTGCCCTTCTTTGATCAATCCATTTAGAGTTTAATATTATATTTTTCATTTAGTTTATTTTGAGCCATTATTAGTATTTTGCATAATTTAATTTACTTTCTTTTTCAAAAGTTAGTTTAGAAAATCAATCAAAAATTTTAATTTGGAAAGCTTCCAATAATTTACGATAACCTGTGACTAGATTTAAAATTAAGAAACTCCTCCGCCATTCCTCAAGAGACATGATACTCGGGGAAAAACCGAAAGGTTAGACTCCGTTTTACTACAACGCCGATGTTGAGGTTTAATCCCGTAGATCCGAAAGCACACCACAGACTTTGGATATATCAGGAAATGGACAATAATTCGGTATGTAAAAGAAAATATAAAAGATTGATAATCGAATGCTCAAAAGCCCACTTGTATTAAATTGACCTGTTTGATTACAAGGAAATTACTCGAACGGTACATCGGATTGATGCTTAATACAAGAAACAAGAGTAATAAGGCTATTCTAGGGCTTGAGTATTAAAATGCTCACCCTTACAATGATATTAAACCTTCTATTTATACTAATGGAGAGTATGAGACGATTTATGCTGATTGGCCGATGTTCCACCGACTTGACCACCCATGCCTCCACTTGATGATGTCACAATCTGGCATTAATTGTACCTGGCCACCTGCTGGTTGTCCGTTGCCCGAATGAGATAATGGGCTCTGTAAAACCCAATCTGGCATTAATTGTACGTTGTCCTGGCATTAAAACCCAATCTTGTTGCCCGAACGGGATAATGGGCTATGTCCGTTGTCCTGGCCACATGCTGGTTGTCCGTTGCCCGATCTGGCATTAATTGTACCTGGCCACCGACTTGCCACCTGCTGGATAATGTATGATCCGAACCCCGTTCGGTATGTCTGTTCTCTGGGCCAGCCTTTTCTTGGCCCGAACCTCGTTCGGTATGAATATATCACTGGGCCTACTTATCATAAGGTAGTGGACTCGTTGTTTGGGCTGGATGTCATGGGCCTTTAATCCGGGTATTGGGCCTCCGGGTCAATATCCCAACACGAGTCCCCCACTTCCGATGTCTCGAATGACAGTGAGTGCATTAGGAAGTATAAGCACCAATGTTGCAACTGCTGAATGGCGATCGGGGTACAGAAGTGGTCAGTTCCCCATACTGTGATTTGACTGCTGTCGTTTGAGTTTCCCCATATTCGTCATGATTGTTGATCTTTGCTCTTCCATGTGACACATGTTATTTCAAATAGTTCCAGTGACGTGTCTCTATTTGATTGGCCTTTGATACGGCGTTTGTAAGGCTATAAATTAGCCTTTAACTCCTTAATTCCGGGTTTCGAATTTTCAATCTTCTTCGTGCTTTTACTCTGCCTCTTCTCTCAATTTTTTCAAGCTTTTCGTGCCCAGGTACTTCTCATCCCTTTAAATCTTTCTCTTCTTTGATCCGATCATTATGAGTTCTCGACTGTGTTCCGATTCGGAAATGGCTTCCCAAGGGGAAGACCATGATGTGGAGATTATCACCGTCCCTTTTGTTGAGGGTTCCAATGTGGCGACGGCGGAGATTAGGGTGGAGACGGAGGATTCCTCCGGCAGTTCTTCTTCCTCCAGTGAAGATTTTGATGACACCAAGTCTGAAGATGAGCTGACTTCCATGGCGGCCGGACGTCCCAACGATTTCCCTCGTCACACGCTTGACCTAAGACTGATTAGGGAGAGGCGGCAAAAACTGACTTCTCACAACAGGGCCAAAATTCCGACCCTAATCCCAGACCCAGTGGACTTCCGATTGCGGGCTGGGCTTCACCCAATGCGCCATACCCCTGGGATGGTTGTAGTCCACTTCGATTCAGTTAGGGTCGGGCTTAGGTTTCCATTACATTCTTTTTTCGTTTCATTTTTTAATTTCTACGAAATTGTACCAGCCCAAGTCATGCCGAACTCTTATCGGGCAATGGCGGGCTTTATTTGCCGTTGTAAAGATGCTGGTGCCCGGCCGACCCTAGATTTATTTCACCAATTTTTCAAAGTAGCCCCCCAACAAACACATGGCTATTTGGCTACTAGTGCCCGAACGGGACATATCCTGTTTAAGGGAATTCTGACTTCAATCAAGGGGTGGAAAGATCGGTTCTTCTTTGTGTCTGTCCCGGACGGCCTGATCCCCCGTAAATGGAATGCCTTCCCTCGCAAATCTCCCGATCCAGTCCTTACTGAGGAAATCTACAAGGATGTGTTCGCTATGGAGAAGGACAAATGTGTAGATATCATGAGTTACTTGACTCCCGATCGGCTTATCGAAGCCGGGATAGGTAATGCCCGTTCTCTTGGGTTTACTTGTTATGAGAAACCAAGTGCCATGGTCCGGGCAGTCCTTCCCGTGCGAGAAACGTTCTCTTCTTTTTTGTTTCCCACGTGACAAGGCTGCTCGGTACTAACATTTTCCTTTGTTATTTTCTAGCTCCCAATCCAGACACACCTATGGACAATAGCCGAGTTCTTGCAGCTAGTGGGGTCGGGAAACGGAAGAAGGCAAGGAAAAATCCTCAACCCAATCCTTCCACCACCATTGCTCAGGATGTCGGGTCTTCTCAACCCGTTCAGGAGCCCCAACCAATTCAACAGGTCCCTCATCAGGACCAATTTGATACCATGCTGATCGATGATCGGTTCGGATCTGATCAGCTGCATCAATTCCCTGAGCGTTTCCAGGCTACTCAGGAGACTAATATGACTGCAGGTGAGACCAACAATGTCCATCTTACTACACAGGTCGAACGGATCTCTCTGATGGATCCAGTTCACGACATGTTGGAGAAAGCTGGTTCTCCTGCAAGCCAGATTTGGTCCACCTCTTCATGGTTCAACAACTTCGCCGCCCCTAAGATGTCGGTCGAGCAATCCGAAGAATGCTTGGCTTTGGCAGCTCTGAAGGTATCTCACTTTTTCCTTATAGTTTTCTCATAGTTTAAATTCTGTTTTACACCATCTCATTTCTCGAATGACATTCTGCAGGTTGGGCTCTACAGTTTGCAGCTGAAAGAGGCTCGACTGGCTAAAGAGCGGGACCTGATCGTTGCTCAGACTTCTGCGGAGCAGAATGCGGCTGCTGCCTTTGCCGCTTTGGAGACCGAACAGAAGGCCTCAGTGGAGGAGAGGAGACGCCTTGAGTCAGAGCTTGGTGAGCTCAGGGTTCAGCTCGGAGCCTTCCAAGCCAAAGTTCACGTTGCTGAAGCTGCTTTGGTGAAGTTCGAAGAGAGCGCTCCCTGTATCCCGGACGGCCCTGCTGAGGTAAAGGTTGATCTGTCCGTCGTCCGGGAAGCATTCAAAGGGTCTGAGGAGTATGCTGCCCTGAAGAAAGATTATGCGCAGCAGGAACTCTCGGCCACCTTCGGTGCTTATCTCGATCGATTCGCCACGGGTGATGCCCGCCGCAGTGAGGGGGTTAAACTGCTCGAATATGATCCAAGGGGCAAAAAATTCAATGACTCCCTGGCCCGATCTCTTTACGTCATGGGCTGCCAGCATATCCTGGCCCCTTTGTTGCTAAACTGCAAGAGATTCTAGGGAGGCCGGTCGAGCTGTCTGATCTTCCCCGGGTGCCCATCGTTGAAGCCTAATATGAGAAATATCAAAGGGACTTGCAACGGGTTGCTGATCGTGAAGAGGGGAGAGAGCCTGATCCCCCCACTGATTCGGATGAGGAGGAAGGTGATGAAGAAGAGACTAGGGAGGGATAGTAGATTTAGAATTTTGTTTTTTATCAATTGTAATCCCTTCCCCCTTCTCCTTTTTTGCAAACCATTATTGTACTTTCCGGCCGATAGAGCCGATGAATATATATGATACATCTTTTTCGCACAAAGCTTCTCATATTGCCTTTCTTGCCTTTCTTGATTTATTGCTTACCATTCGGGATTCAGTACATTTTTTAGGACTTGGTAGTTTTTCTGGCCTCATTTTTGACCATTCTTCATATCATCGTTCGGGCTTCAGATGGTTCTGACAATTTACCAGGATTTGGCCTTTCTCTTGTGTCGATAGCCGTTCGGGCTTCAGATAATTCTGTAGGACTTAGTCGTTTAGTGAATCTTTTGTTTATGATATCCTCATCTATTCCACATAACTGTAAATAGAAACCCTGTTCGGTTTATCTTGTTGCCCTTATCTTTTGATTCGTCCGAATCCCGTATTTTCCCCATCCCACCGATCTTTATCTGTTGTTCTTCAAATACTACCCGTTCGAGGTCTCAAAGGATATTTGTTTCAAATTTATGGTTTATGCCGACCTTGGCTCGGGAAGTCTCTCAGTACGCTCATCGTTCCATCTTTTTAGGATGGCTTCCCCAAGACTGTTAATCCGTTCTTCATGAATTGACCATTTAACCGTTCGGGGAATGTGCTAAATTATCATAAATGTACCATAATTTCGTACAACCACATTTCACCACGTGTCCTTCATGGGTTAGGGTTTTGGGCGGCATCTTTGCTTATAAATAGAGGTGCTTCTTTTCCATTTCTTCTGTTGCTTCCTTGATTTCTTCTTGCGTATCTCTAAGCTTTCTCTCTCTAGAATTCTCAGGATTCCTCAAGTGGTTTTATGTATTTTTCTTCTAGCTCAGAATCTGAGGAAATGCCGCTTATCCGTGGGGGAAAAACTCCTGCTGTAAACAATGCCGAAGGCTCTTCTTCCCAAGTACCTAATTCCACTAATCCCCTCATAACAAAAGATGTCGAACAACCTCTTGATGAAGGATGCCTTTCGGGAGACGATGTACAGATCTATAACAAGGGAATGCCCGACCGGCCACCCCGCATTACCTTGCATTTCACCCGTATTCGTAAACAAAAACAACGTCTTCCTGAAGATGCCAAACGGCAACTTCGCCAACTGTTGCCTCCGCCTAGAGAATTTTATGCCGGATTTATCAGGCACCCGATGAGGCACCGACCGGGGCACGTGCTTGTGCACCTTGATGCATTGATCGCTGGGCTTCGCTTCCCTCTTCATCCATTCGTTGTGGAGTTCCTGCATCGGGTCTCCGTACTTCCCGCTCAGTTCGTACCCAGCACCTACCGCATTCTGTCTGGCTTTATAATCCGATGCCAGGAACTGAGGATCGCCCCAAGTGTCGATTTATTTCTACACCATTACTTCTATAAGCCTTATTGGACGACCGGGTACCTGAAGCTGGTAGCCCGAGCTGATCGTCAGTTGTTTACAGATAACCCTACTCTGTCGACTGATTGGGAGGAGCGGTTTCTCTTCGTGCGTATAGGCGATTCTCTCCCATTTTCTGATCGGTGGAACGCTTACCCCGTTCGGGATTCTCAGCCCAGAATAGATGTTGTTCTGTGCTCTCAAGCCGAGTCTCTGCGTATGGGAGGAACTCGGAGTCTTCGGGGTTTTATTACGCCTTCTAATATGCTATCTGCTGGGATTGGTAAGTGTAACAGAGTTTTAACCCGATCGTTCTCTTTTTAATTTAGTTTCTTATCTCTTATTCCCTTTTTTGTAGGTGTGATATCCCCTATACCCATTCGGCGTTCCATATATGCCGCTACTCTGATAGCTTCCTCCGGAAAAGGCAAGGAGAAGGTGTAACACCGACTCCGAGCATATTTACTTTTAGTAAATTATGTAATAAACCTTGAAGGATGATTTATAAATTTGCGTAATTGAAAATTTTTATTATTTCTTTTACGTGAATAGTAAATTGCATGTGGGGCCCACAGTGGGAACGGGGACCGCCCGATAATTTCCGAACCACATATTATATTCATCTTGGTCTAGATAATTGTATATGGTGGTGGATATTTTATTTGGGCCATAAGAAAGGCATGGAGTTGACCGGTTGGTCAAACGAGGCCCAATTACCGGTATTGGCAAATTAACGGATAACAGCCCGAAATGAGTTTCATAGGCTCCTAAATTAATGTTGGGGAATGTACATCGTTTCTAAAGGCCCATAATTATTAAGAACACGTGATATATTTTATCCGGCCCGATAAAATAAAATATGACTAAAGTAGTCCGAAAAATACAACTTTCGGGGCCGATTATACATACCGGGACATAATGGGATGACCTCCCACATAAGTGGGGGCCACCCCACGTTTTTATGGGTGCTGAATGACCAGAGCAATGGGAATGGGGCATCTCAACATGGCTTGTGCGGACTTATGAAGGAGAGGGTAGCTTGGAGACAAAACCACACCCCTCCTTGTCTCATTCATGCACCATCCTCATAAGGTGAGGAGACTTGATGGACTCCTCCCTCATTCTACACCATAAGGAGGATAGAATAGAGAGATAAGGTCCAGGGAAGAGCTCTCAAAATTCTGGAGCTTGAGGAGCCAAGAAGAGGGAAGAATCCATAGAGGAAAAAGCTAAGCCTTGAGGTAAGAACCCATATGGTTCTTTTAACTAGTTTTATGGTGTGTGATTTTTAAGAAATCCTATGGTGGATTAAACATGATGTTCTACACGTGCAAAAGTGTAGAATATTGATATAAAGTGGTGATATTTAACTTAGAAAAGTTGGTGAATCGATAGGAGTCGAAATCGCCGGAAACCGCCACTTTAAAGGAGCTGCTCGTTTCTGCAGACCACGAAAGCCGCCCGGCTTTTGCCCAGCAGCTCAGTTCTACACCTTCAATCGGCCTAGAACGGGGATTGATCGAGGGGCTTAGCGAAGGCAACTATTTCAGCACTTCATAAGGTGAGGATGGCTGACTATATTGCTTATAATTAGTGAGTTAATTTCATGAGATTACCGAAGGTAATTAAATGTGTTTTTATGGATTATTAATGATGAATAATGCCTAAAAATGAAAAGACTAAATGTCTAGAGAAAAAGGAGCATGATATACAAAATTAGGAGTAAATTGTGTATGTTCATGTGTTATGAGTATGTTGACTTAAAAGTGGAATTTATTATGAAACATGTGTTGAAATATACCTTTTTCTTCATATTAGAATATATGAGTGATTAAAAGTGATACTTTGGATATTGAGATAAATGATATTTTCAAAGGAAAATCAGTTGGAATTGTCTATATGACTATGAGTTGAGAACTTGGTTTGTTGATATTAAGTTGACTAGTATTAAGATACTAGTTGGACATTAAGATGAAATGTTGTTAAGATTGATCCTAAGGTTGGATTGTGAAATGTTATGCCTTAAGTAGTCTTAAGAGATGCTTTAAGGTAGGAAAGTATGAACTTTAAGTTATACTAGGGGTAGGCCTTAAGGGATACCCAAGATAGTGTGAATATTAAATTGATCCTAAGTATAGGATTGGCCTACGGGTGTGATCGGTAATTCTTGTGGATAGCCGGTTGAATTATGGAAATAGTAAGGACCATGGCCCTTCCCGACTCTAGAGAGCGGGGTTGGATAGCATGGACTTACATCGTGATCACGGGTTAGGGTGGAATCCGAATCGGAGACCTAACTAGGTCCCGGTAGCGGTAACACATAAGATAGGACCCCGAAGGGCCTTACCTTCCTACGGGATGATGGGTACGAGTCCAGGGGCGGGATGTTGGAGTCCGAACCGGGAGCCTCATGAGGTCTCGGACAGCGGTAGCAAGTCCCGTAGAAATAATAAGACCCAAGGGTTGGGTTGTGCAAATGCTAAATGAAAAGGAATATATAAGGAGGGCCGTGTGCCGACAGATAAATAAGTTCACTTATTATAAAGATAATAAGTGGGAAATATAAATTGTTATTTATATTATGATATCACCCTATTTTGAGGGTCTTGGAAATTAAAACGTTGATTATACTTAGTATAGTTGCTATTGTACTTGTCAAATATTTCCAAGTACTCACCTCCCCTTCACGGGGGAGGCCACCTCACAGTTTCAGGTAGAACCTGAAGGTTGCTACCGGCGCCCGTTGCTTCGGGGATTTTCAAGGGAGAAGACGTGGTTCGTGCTTCTTCTGTTTCCTGTTTTCAAAACAATTATAACAATGCTCATGGATACTATTTTATTAATAATTACTTTGGGGGCTTGTATGCCTAGTTATGCCAAGTGTGGCTTGAACAATTGTATTAACGCTTCCGCTACTTCAAATGCATGTTTTACATTATGTTTGTTTATGGATGTACTATGTGTGAATAATATTCATGACGCCTTGTATAGTATGGATGAGTTGGACTACGGTTGACTATTCGTACTGTAAGGCGGGTTGTTGACGTGTCCGGCTAGGTCCGGGGCGTGACAGAAGGTGATTGCCGATCGTGCATCTGCTGAGCAAACCAAGAAGAAACGCAAAGGGAATGATGGCAGCATACTGATCCCGGTCGATCATGTGGTCGATTTGACCGGTCCGGATGACAAGATGAAAAAACCTATCATCCCTGTCCAGCCCCAAACTTCGGTTCTCAACAACCCACCGGTCGACGATCAGATGTTTGTGGAGTTTTCCAACTTGGGGACCCAAGCAGAGGGAAGATACCTGTTCGGCCAGATGCCATCTTCCATGTGGTGCAGTACCTCTCTGAAGGTTCTACCCAGTTTTTCTACTCTGACCCATTG